AAGCCTTTAGGACCCTAGACACTATATGTTTTGATACCCAGGCACCATCAGCTTTCTTCACCGCATTTGCTTATGCACCTACTTTGCCTTCAGCAATCGTGTCCGGAAGGTGAAGCATCATGGAATGCCAGGTTATTAGAACAAAGTGTTCTTGCATTGAGGGAGGCCCAATATCCATCTGGTACCTTAATACCCTGTTTCCTCGAAAATAAGACAGTGTCTTATATTAATTTTTGCTCCCAAAGATGCACTAGGTCTTATTTTCAGGGGATATCTTATTTTTCCATGTTGAACAACAAAAAAGGAAATTTATTACCTGTATACGGTATGGTAGTAGTTGTCATCACAAACCAGCATAACCAGACAAACTGTGAACCCTAAAGTATCAAGAATTTCTTGTTACTACCATTATTTTGATGTACAACAATCTATGGTACATTTACTTATTTATTCAATGACAGTCATGTCATCGTCTTCTGGAACATCAGCATAACAATCCCAAACCTGAATTTCCTGGTGAATTTCTTTTGACTCCATTTCTTTCAGAATCAGTGGACCAAATCTCTCATGTTTAGCAATAGCACTGTCCTTAAATGAGTACTTCTTGTCAAGGAAGCCTGCTCGTAGTGCATTTGCAGTGCAACTGTCAGTGATTTTCTCCCATGAATTCTTCACCCAAGTCACAACCTCTTGCAGTTTAGGTTTCACAAAGTTTCCATGCTGATTTCTCTCCATTCTATTTTCAATGTAGTCATTAATTTCCATGTGCATATTGTCCTTGAATGGCTTGTTTATTGCAATATCAAGAGTCTGGAGATAGGGCGTCATTCCTGTGGGAATCATTATTTGATCTATTTTTCTTTCGTGAAGAAATGTCTTCATGTCTTTAGAGCGGTGAGTGCTGGCTGCATCTCAGACTAGCGGACCTCTTTGGCTCCCTTGCATAACAAGTGGCAGCATTAAATCGACCCACTTCCTTATAACTGCTTATGTGGCCCAGGCTTTGTCAGTTTCAAGAATAAAAATGCCCAAAACACATCCAATGTTTTCCTTCTTGCACTTTATCAGACATTTCCCCCCTACCTCAGACAACCCTGTGTGTCCACACAATGTGCCTGACTCCTACCCTGCGCGACTCACTGTCTAATTGTGAGTCACCCAGACTCCATCAGGGCAGAGCGAGCAGCAGGCGGCAGCTTGTCCTGGTGGCAGCGTGGGTTCGCTGATTAAAAGAGACCTCGCACTTCCTGTCTGCTTCAGCTGTGCTTTGGCCAACAGCGGCACTCGCCGCTATGGTCCAGAGTCCAGAGTTTCGGTAGCTTCGGGGGGCCTTATTATCGGGGAGGTCTTATTTTCAGGGGTGCCTTATATTTCAGCGAGAGGCAAATCTAAGTAGGTCTTATTTTCGGGGGATGTCTTACTTTCAGGGAAACACGGTACTAAACCTATAAATATATGCACATAGATCTATTTCTCCATCCTCATATATAAATATAGTTACATATGTATATGCCTGTATTTAGCCCTGTATAAATGCCCTTTGACTCCTAGTTCTTTTCTCTATTTACTTTTACTTTCCTCTTGTCCCACTATCATGCTAGCCTTCATTTGGGTTTCAGTAAGTCCTCTCTGTTACATTGCCCTTGATCAATCCCTATCAGGCCTCTTACACCCTCCTCACAACTGATTTTGGATCACTTGTTCCCTTGTCCCTGGGTTTGTTAACACCATTTCCTTCTGCCCACCTCCCCCTGGAACCATCTTCTCCAGATTGTTTATCCAGCCTATCTTATTTAGACAGACCTGCGGAGATAATAACATGCACAAAAACAAGACAGAGTAAAACAAAGGAACAAAACAAAACAACAACAACCAAAAATGACAAAAATAAAAGCCTGTAAATAGTTCAGTCTGTTTGTTGACCTTTAGGAGTGTTTTCTGGTGGAGTTTGATGGGGTGCCACGCCCTGGCCCCAAAGTCTATTTTTGGTATTCCCTTGGGACTTCCTTCCTCTGCTCCCCTTGCTGTTCTGTTGCACGCCCTTAGTGTTTTGCCTCGGTGTGGTGGGGTCAGATCAGACACAATTCCCACACTGTTTCTCCAGTCTTGTCCCTTGTAGGGCTGTGGGTCAGTGAGGGATGTCATGTCTCAAAGTGGGGCTGGCCATATGGTCGTCTCTGTGCATTGGCTGCTGTGAGCGGGGATATCATCCTCAAGGCTTGGGGGGGCCAGGATGTGCTCCACTCTCTTCCTCCCCCTTTATTTGCTCCCATGTGCTCTGATCAGACATATCCCTCTCCCTGACCTGCAGCTTCAGTGCTGTCCTCTGAAGTGAATTCTTCTGGGGGGAGAGGCGGCTATCCATGTAGCTGGGACTGGGGCCGGCTTCTCAGACTGGAAGCTTCTTCTTAGGGATCTCAGTATCAGAATACCGAAGAGGAGATGGGCTCATTTTAAAATAATAAGTCATAAGGATTTGAGTAGGCGAGTGTGTGGGTAAAGGTGTTTTGATTCATCCAAAACTCAATAATTCATGTAGTTGCTGTTATTGCTGTCCGATGCCCTCAAGCTTGCTCCAGCCCATAGTAATACGTACAATGAACAAATGGCTGCCTGGTCCTAGTCCGTTTTCAGAATCATCATTATGTTAGAGCCTATTGTTGTAGCCTTTGTGCCAATCCATCCATCGAGGGTCTTCTGTTTTGTTGACCACTAAGTTTACCAAGAATGATGTTTTTCTCCAGGGACTGGTCCCCCCTGATGGCATGTCTAACGTCCATGAGATGAAGTCTGGCTAACCTCTCTCTGAAGGAGCCCTCTAACTGCACTACCTCCCAGACAGATTTATTCATTCTTCTGCTAGTCTGTGGTATATTTAATATTCTTTGTCAACACCATAATTCAAAAACACCAGTTCTGCCGTCTGTATTCGTTTATTCATTATTTGCTTAGCTATAACAGTCTACCCTAGGCAGATCTTTATTTAATATCCTTACTGACATGTTTATTGTATATTTTTCTATTTCACTCCACACAGAACTAAGGAAGACGTGACAGAAACGTAGTCTGTGTTACATTTAGGCTGGTGCTGCCTATTAGGGACCCTTGGGGTCTCTGGAATGGAAAAAAGAACTATTCAGAATCTGGGACAACATAGTTTTCTGAAGTCAGGTTCTCATGGTAGCTTCAGCCTGTTTTGTTGAAGTATTTGTAAATGCTTGGTCATCCCTCAAACTCACAATCAAAGACAAATCCCACAGCATATCCTAAAACCAAATATGCAATGATTGTAAATTGGCTGCCATTTTAGCTGATTCACATCTCAGTTCATCTCATCACTGCAAATAACTCTTGCAAATTTTGTCAAAGGGACTAGGAACTCTAGCTCAATGGCACATTTAAAAAATTACCCAGGGAAGCAATTGTGAAGTATCCCCAGATAGTGCATCGCCACTCAGTTCAAGTGAAGCACCCCTTCTGAACAGTGCCCTGATGCAGGAAGAGCCTGCCTTCCCTGACCCAGGCTGCACGGGAAGACCACTCTGGGGTGAGGTCTCCAGAGTGGACAGGTGATCTGGCTTACTTTAAGACCTGACCTTCTGGGACCCTTTGCTTTCTGACTGGGAGTCCTGCCTGTGAATTAAGACTGTTGCTTAGATTTTTTGTCCCTTTGGTTTGGGCTCTAGGTGATTGATGCTTATAGATTCCGTAGGGCAATTCAAGTTTTTCCTAAAACTCATGACAAATGTTAGAGGAAACCAGCCTCTAACAACCAAGGGCTCCTTTTGTAGGTGCAAGTGTAGGGCTATCATATATGAAGATTATAGGAAAAGAAAAAAGAAAAAAAAGATTACAGAAAAGTCATAGAAGATAGGATAGGAGAGAAGAGAGAATAAAGGAGTCAGACACATTTCATGGTAGCATGCTCACCTCAGCCCCTCTTGGTGGTCCACGTGGAGGTGGGAGAAAAGAGAGCGAGTATATTTCTAATCAAGGCTTATATACACTTAGGGGGTGTGAAAGTCCCCTGATTACATCATCACAGGAAGGGGTTGTACCATAGGCAATACATTCAATGGGAGGGGAACGATCTAGGGGTGTACATGCAAAAGGAAGGGGAGGGCCTAGTGGTACACATGTGACAAGATGGGAGGATTCTAGATTCAAGATGGCAGCCTAACCTTGGTCACCTTGAGTGGGCTTGACCTTGCCTCGGGGTTCTCCTTCAAGGAACGAATCCACTATCCTTATCAGCAGGGCGTGGGCCCCACCTACTGTGGTACAGACAATATCTGATTGCTCTAGCCGACTGATGCCCTCAGGGAGATAACCTCTAAGCAGCTGACATTGACCTCCAAGTAATTTACCATGTGTTGTAAGCATATATTTAGGGGGACAACCTGGGGAAAAACCCTTCTATATCCCACAAACAAGAAATATGACCCTTGGAGAAATCTGTTGTGTAGTTGAGAGTACCCAGTTAATGAGCATCAAACTACTTCATCAAATAAGCAAAATGCCTTTCTCTTCTTCCACTCCCTGAGTAACTGGTGCCAAGCCCACTTAGCAACCATGTCGGGACAGCGCAGGACTGCTCCATAGCACTTCTAAGGCTGTACCTCTATGGAAGCAGGCTGCCTATATTTCTCTCAGGTGTGCCTGGTGGATTTGAACTGCTGACCTTGCAGTTAGCAGCCCAGTGCCTTACTTAACCCATGGCCCTACCAGAGCACCTAACTAGTGCCAGGGTCACCAATTCCAAGAATTGCCATTAGTTTGAGTGTTCAGAATTGAATTATTGGAGAAGTTGATCGTGATTCCCAATGGTACACTCTGTCCTTGTCCTCAGCCTTTCCCCAGCAGAGTCCCTCTAGCCTGTAGCATTATGACGCATGCAACCACACCAAACTGCGTAGCCAGTCCACATTTGGGGCAATAGGAGGGTAAAGTTGATAGAAGTCTCATCTGTGTTTGTTTCCTCTCTGCTCTATCTTTACTAGGCAAAAGTCGAAGAAAAGATCCAAGATGTCTTCAATTCTTACAAGTTCAACCACCTTGTACCGAGGTAAGCTGTTGATTGGAGTTTGAGGAGGCACCCATGGGTCTCCAAGGGTCATTCAGCTCCGCAGCAGCTGGTTACTGGTTGGGAGAGCTGCCAACTCATGAGGGAGGCGGTCTTTCCTCCTTGGGCTTATCCAACCAGAAGCCAGGAGGCTGCTTCCTGGATGTGCTGTGCCTCAGACGCCTCCCTCTGATAGGGTGCTGTTCATGTCTGGCACTAGGCCTGGCTGCTCTCACAGCCTGAACTCTGAGGACTGCAGATGGGGCAAGGTTTAACTGCTTAGTTGTGACCTGCTGCCCTGGTATTCAGATGGGGAACTATCTTGGAAACAGAAAAAGTGCTCTGAGGGACGGCAAAGTATTGGACTCGCCATCCTTTCTTATTTGAGTGAGGGAAGGACTTTGAGCTTCAGCCAGCAGCCTGGGCCTTATTGCGTGGTGACTGCAGGAGATTTGAATGAGAAATAGAAGGAAGGCCTTTTACCTCCTTGGAGCCAGCAGGCCAAGGTCAGATACTCCATAAAGGAGATTATAAGCAGAAGCTTATTACTGAATTTGAATTTTTGTATTTTCTAATGCGTCACGCTAACACTTATTAGCATGTCTCATCTATTTCACAAATTGTCCCTCAGAAACCAGCCATCCTCTGTTACACCTCCAGCCAGGAGAACTGACCAGTCCTCCATAGCTGTGTGTGGTCATCGTTTTCCCTCTAACGATAATGATTAAGTGACTTTGCCTCGACATTCGGCTGACACAGTCCAGTGGGAGAGCTCAGGGGCCTGAGGTCCAGTCCCTGACCACCACTTGAGACTTGCTAACTGTAAGGGTTTTTTGGGGCGCGAAACCAAATTAAAGATTCAATTGGTAAAGTTTTAGAAGCAGGCTTTATTGAGAAGCTTGCGGCGGGTTCAGCAACTCAGGTATTGAGCTAGTGAAACCGCACGAGGGGAATTCTGGCTGCATTTTTTATATCCCCTGGTGGCAGGCACAGCTGCACACAGGGGCTTCACAGGGAAGCACTCATTAATCTTATCTATAGGTCCGGGATGGGTGGAATAAACACATCTTCAAGGAATGCAGGGAAGTGGTCGTTAATCTTATCTATAGGTATGGGGTGGGTGGAGTAAACATATCTTCAAAGAACATTCTTTCTTGGGGATGTCTGGTTCTCAGAACTGGTGATTTTCAGCGAGGGGAGGGGAGGCCGATGTGAGGGAGGCCCATGAGAGGTGAGTTCTGAGAACCACGAAGGTACCGGATTCAAAATGGAGTCCCTTGTGCCAAGACCAGGCACTAACAGCCCAAATCCCAGCAAACCAGTCTCCAGGACGCTTCTTATATAACCAGAGCATTAAAGATGTGTCCAGCCACAGAGAGCTTGATCTCTTCTGATTTAAAAAGCAAAACATTTCAATCAGAAAAGTCTAATCTGCAAAGACAAAACCATTGGAAAAGGCACTTATATGCTTGTAGAGGGAGAGAGGAAGGCAGGGAAGCAGGGAACCATCCACGAACAGGGAGTCTTTCCCCAAACTGCTCACTTAACCATATGCATTGAGCCCGAGCACGAGGACACGGTTAGGTGAAGGCTTGCCCTGCCCTTGAGCCGCAGCTGGAGAGCAGCAGATGGCACCACCTGTTTAACTAACCCAGAGAGCACCAGCCTTGCTGCGCACCCACCTCTGTGGCTCCTGTTGCTAGCAGTCAAATCCCCAGATGACTCACCTGGCTGGGGCCTGAGTCACTGTCTACATCTGGCTCTTGGGAGACACAGGTCCTTTGTTTTCAGTGTGAGTGCCAGCCCGAGGCCACCCACCATCAAAGTAGAGCTCTTGGGCTTTTTCCTTTCCTTTTTTTTTGGGGGTGGGTGGGTGGGGAGGTGGGGGCCTTTCCCTTATTCTTGCTCAAGTGGAAGGGAGAATGAGAAGTTACAATGGGGAAGAAATTGGTTTTTGGGGTGGTGGCCAAGTGGTGGAAGATAAAGGGAGTCAAATTAAACTCCATGATTCATAGGTCTTGGGTCAGGTGTGGGCAGGAAATAAAAACTGCTCCTCTTGGGGAAATGGATAGCAGGGTTTGGGGTTTGCATCAGGAATCTGGCTTTTCTCATTTTGCTTGTGAAAATGGGTATCTGGAAGGCACTCATTATAATGCCAGCTAATTAACATCCCTGAGAGCCACATTTTAGCTGAGTGGTTGATGTGTTCAAATCAAGATAGCAGCTTAAGGCCGATTCCAGACATCACCGTGTCAGAATGAACTTCTAGAATATAAGTCCGACAGAGTCTCAACTATTATCTGTTACTGTAAAACTATAACTGTAAAGCTAACATTGAACATTTTAGTTGCTGGAGTTTGAAGGCCTGACATTAGAATGCAGAACAGAACCCTGAAACGGTAGCGGCAGTGAGTATTCAGGTATTAGCAGTGATGCCAGACGCCAGGGCTGGTTTGTGTCCTCTGAGGCTCTTGTGCTGATCAGCTGATGGGATCACACAGGCTCTCAGGACCAGCATCCAGAATGATGCTGACGGAGGCATTTGCCTGCTCGGCGGCCCAAGGCCAAAGCCGAACAGCAGATTTGAGCTGAAATCCAAGGCTAAAGATGAATATTGTTGGTGCATTTAGAATTTCTCCCTATCCCTGAAATGGTTTTCCTCCTGTCTTAAGGCTATGAAATGTGCAGCCTTTTTTTTAAACCATGCTTTTACACGTCACACTTTGTCCATCAATACCCCACCTTTCCGCGCCAGTTCATTTGGCCTTTCCTGTGGCTCCTTATTGTCAGTGTTGCACTCCCGGATGAAGTTACCCTTTTCCACTTACTACCCTACTGATGACATTTGCTTTCAGAAGCAGCCTGAACTGGAGGGGCTACCCATGCACGTAGGCCCGCGGAAGTCTGAGCTTGGTCATTTCCCTGTGCTGATGAAGCCCTGGAGGTGCCGAAGCCAGAAAACGGAGTCCAGCTTGCAGCGAAGCTTGCCCGCCCTCTGTCTGTAACATTAATTTCTCAAAAACTCACTGCCACCCAGTGAGTTCTGACCCCACAGTGCAGCGCCAAGCGGCCCTGGTGGTTCCCGAGACTAGCTCTTCGTGGAGTAGAAAGCCTCTGAGCAGCCGGAAGCTCCTTTCCTTCCTACTGCTGCCCTTCCCCAGGCCCTCAGTCAAGCTTGCCTCTCCCCACCCTTCCTCAAATGACTTACTGCTCTCATACCCAGAGGCTGCGTATTAAGTCTTTCTCTGAACCAGAGAAGGCCTTGGCTTTAATGAGCCTAAAAAAGTGTTGGGAACCTCAGTTGAGGGAATCTCTGTCCTCACATCTACCGCAGTCCAAGGCACAGTTCCCGAGGATGGGGCAGGGTTCACCCCACTCTGCCGTCGTCATTTAAAGTCCTTGAGGGTCAGTATTCTGCTGAGCTCCAGAGAAACAGGTGGGCAAGGCCGGCCTGGGAAGGTAGACTCCAACCCAGACCCCTGTAAATAGGGCCTCGCCTGCTTTTTCCATCGTTTCTCTTGTGTTACTACTATGCTAGCCAAATTTCCCTGCCGGCTACTCCTCCTGCAAATCCGTGTCCTTGTTGCCGTCAGATATAGTAGTCATTAGCCACCCAAGATTAAATGCTGAGAAATGAGCCTACAGATTCAATACCTTTGTCACACTGCTTGTCTTCTAAGGGCTTAGCAGCTACGTGTGGCTCATGGCAGCCGAGTTAGACCGTGTAGGTAGACAACATGTTCCTTGTCAGCTGAAGGTCTGTGGCCAGCATTGCTCGGTACTTCTGGGTTTACATTCTTTCTGGCCAAACGTCTCCTCCCTCCCCATCTCTACTGAAATCTGTCTCCCACTAGCAAGGCCGCCCACCACAAATTCCACTTCTTCCCATAGCCTTCCTTAATGAAATGCGATGCCCCTCCCTTTTGAGCCTCGGCAGCATTTTATCTGTTCTTGCTTTGTAATACCTACCCGATGCTGTGCTTGCCCTTATTTCCAGGGGAAACTTTTTGGAGGGTGAAAACTACTGCCACGAGTCACCTCTGATCTCCTCCTGTGTGTGGCACAGCAGGGATTGCATAAGCCCGAGTTGACTTGAATGTTTCGAACAGGGAGTGCTGCAGAGTGCCAGGCTCAGCCAGCGAGGGGATGCCTTGACGTCTGGGCTTCATTCTTCCCTGCAGGACCCAGCAAGCCGTGCAGCGTCTGCCCACCTTCGGCTGCCTGCGCAGGTGGCCACGGGCAGCACCTGGCATCTGGAAGCCAGTCTTGCTGGCAGCAATGCCAAGGAGAACTACAGGCCGCAAAGCACAGACGGGCTGGGGGGTGGAGGGCGGGTCTGCACGTGGGAAGTGGAATTCCCAGGGGGAGATACTAGATCACCGAGGGGCAGGTAGGCAGGGCACAAGCCAAGAGCCTCCGAGAAGTGAGCCCAGAAGAAATGCCAGTGGAATGGTGGTGGGTAACATGCCAGGGAAGTGGCCAAGCTCGGAGAGAGTGAATTGCAGGATGAGGAGCCAGTAGCTTATCTGTTGGTGGTGAGCCCATGGGGGAACTTGCTGGGTGGGTTATCCCTGCCCGGCTGTGTGTCCTGTCCGGAGCTCACTGAGGCTTTTCCATCAGGCAGGAAGGTAATGTCTGCCGGCATGCTTCTCTGACACTAGAGACATTCAGACGTTGGCCTTGCTGCTAACTTAGCTGCTGTCAGAGGGAAAGAGTTTGCTGTGGTCCACCAGGGACTGCTGGTGGTAGTGGTGGTGGTGGTGGTGGGCGGTGTATCCTGATGCTGAGAGCGCGCGCAGGTGTGCACACAGGTGTTCTGCAGGGACGCGGAAGCGTGAGCTCACGCGCTGTTTGTCTTTGCAGGCTGCTTTTGCAGAGGGAGAAGCACTTCCATTATCTGAAAAGAGGCCTTCGACAGCTGACCGATGCCTATGAGGTAATGCACACCCCAGGGACTCATTCTGTGGGGCCGTCAGCCAAGCCTTTCTCCCTCCTCTTACTCGAACACAGAAGATGGCGGAGCCTGGCCTGCTGTGCACTCACCCTTGTGCCCTGTGGCCCTGGCAGGAACCTCGACAGCTGGCCTACAGTTCCCTGTTCGTATCCCAGTTCCCTATCCTTTGGCCTTTTGCTGCCTGCCCCATCTAGCCTGGGCCGCGCAGTAAATGTGTCTGGTTTGAATGACGACCAATAACCATTCACAGGTCATCTTTGGAAGCCCTCACAGTGGGTCTCTGGGTTGTTCCCTCAGGACTGTTCCTGAAGCTCTGTGTACACATGTTCTGTTCCACCTTGTTCCCAGAAGACACAAGTCACCTTAGGCCCTTGTGCAAAGGGTCTCTTCCACAAAGAGAACTACAAAGACTAGACACAGCCCGAGCATCGGAAGTGTAGGAACCACATGGTCTGCATTAGCACGCCCCCAGGATTGAATACATTGGTGCCCTGCTGGGGTAGCGGGTTTCCAGTTGGGCTGCAATCTGCAAGGTCCGCAGTCAGAACCACCAGCCTCCTCCGGAGACAGATGGGGCTTTCCCCTGAGCAGTTAGTCTCAGAAACCCACCGGGACAATGGGACCCTGCTCTCCAGGGTCGCTGTGAGTCAGCATTGACTTACGGCAGGGAGATTCTGGAGTGTCTAATATAGTGTGTACCTATTAATGCTTCTGGAATCAATGGGTAAGTTAAGCCAGGAAGACCCTTCTGAAGTTCTCCATCCCCTGGGGTCTGCACAGGCCCCCTGGTGGCGTATGGGTAGTAGTTATGAGTTGGGCTGTTAGCTCTAAGGTCAGCAGTGAACCCACCAGCAGTTCCACAGGGGGAAGGTGAGGCTTTCTACTTCCAAGAGGAGTTAGTCTCGAAAACTCACAGGGGTAGTTCCACCTGCCCTATAGGGTTAACTGAGTGGCAGTGAGTTTGGTTTGGGTTTGGTCACACTGAGAACACAGCATCACTTGTAAGAAGTCCTCTGCTCATCCTTCCTCGGGTGCCTGCGGAGAAGGACCCAACAGGCTTGGGGTAGGGTTCTTCCCCTCGTGATCCTTTCCCCCTTCTCATCCCCTGGAGAGTGAGAGTCTCGGACCCCCCCGCCCCGGCGGTTCTCCCCTGTCCTACAGGAACACTGGGAGTCAGCACCAACTGGGTGCAGGGCAGGGAGTCTGGTTTTTGTCTGGTGATCTTCTCAGCTCCCCACGCAGGCCTCAGAGCAGAGCATCCTTCACCAGTTCTTCACCACAGGGCCCCTCCTCCCCCTTGTCGGCTGCCGGGAGTGAGACAGATGTCGCCTTGTCAGCAGTGTCTCTGAGTGGTTGTGAACAAGGGCGTGTGTTCTCCCCTCTCCCCCTGACAGTGTCTGGACGCCAGCCGCCCGTGGCTCTGCTACTGGATCCTGCACAGCCTGGAGCTACTTGATGAACCCATCCCCCAGACGGTGGCTACTGAGTGAGTCCGGCGCTGGGGCCTCGGGGACATGCTCTGAGCCGGCAATTAGAGCTTAAGGTCCTTTCTGTGGTGTGTCTCGGTTATTTGTTCCTGAATGAAAACCCAGAGCGCTGCAAAGAAGTATTGCCCTTTCTTTGACCCCCAGTAACTTCCTGAAGCTGCCCCAACCCTTTTAGAAGAGCTGGTGGGTAGAACAAGACTTTGAACCCCGAGGGGAAGGATTCTAGGTCCTTCGGTGGCCTTTGCTTTTGGCTCTTGCCCTGCTCTGTGAGAAAAGTCTTTATCATCAACTCTGAAGACAGATTTCTCCAGAAAGCACAGTGTGCATTTGAATAGTTTCTGTGAGAACGTGTGTGCCCACCCAGGGCACAGAAATGCCTTTGCCTTCCAGACACCCCTCCGTGGAGGCAGCCCAGCAGGGCAGTGCCCGGGGAGGCAGCGCCATTCTTGATGGGCTGGGCGTGCTGCTGCTTTTGGTGTGCAGATGCCGTGACTCACACTTTGCCCAAACGTCCAGTTGGAACGTCTTGCTGAACGAGCTGCCTGTGCAGCTGGTGCCCTCCGTGTGGCCCCCCATTCTCAAAGAGTAACAAAGAAAGCCAGCCACCCCCTCACTCCAACCCCTCCCTCCCAAGGGGTACCTGGATGGCCCAGGGCAGCCAGGAGTTGGCTCTGCTGTCCTAGTTCTCAGTGAGAGAGTGTGTCGCCCCACATGGCACTCCTGAGGGCAGGCCTGTGGGAGGAGAGGCCCGTGAGCACGCTGCGCACAGAGGCAGCCGTGCCAGGAGGCAGGGAGGCCAGCCGGTGCCCCTGCCTGGTCACATTGTCAGGTCAGGAGAACAGAGCTGCACATTGTCTCATTCATCTGTCTTAACAATAACCTCTCATTCTTGCCTTCCTGGGCAGGGTGTCTTGTGATGGCTGTGGATGGGGGGGGCTGGTGGGGGGCAGATAGTGAAGAATTAGGCCATTAACCCCTGCAATGGATGCAAGGCCTTCTGAGGGAGAGGAGAAAATGTGCAGTCTGCCTCATCGGGATGCTGTTACTGCAAGCCGAGTTCCTGTAGTCCTGGAAGTCGAGTTGGGCGCCCTTTCTGCAGTAACAGGCATTTAATTGTGAAATTAAGGCCCATGTGTTTTTGAAATACCAGTTGGGAGCTGAGGGTTGTTTGGGAAGTTTCTTCCCTATACGTCCACACTCGGGGTGTGCTCGGGCAGAGAAGGGTGTTGTGTGAAGAGAGATGGGAGGCTTCTTTGAGTGTGAGGGACAGTTGCCCACCCAGGGAAGTGGGGGTGGGGGCAAGTGGAAGTAGGAGGTCGGAATGCTCAGGGGATCTCTGAAGTGGAAGAATGTAGGTCAAAGTCAGTGTTGCCTTTTTTCTGGTCTGCTGGTTCGTGGTTGAGAGCTTCTGGAAGCTGCTTCTGGGGCCACGTCAGGAAGAAGGCTTTCCACACTGAACAACTGGAAACGACTAGCCGTCTGTCTAGTCCTAGGGCTGCCTTTAAGGCCCCAGGTAGCACCGTGGTTAGTCTCGGGCTGCTGACTGCAAGGTCCGCCATATGAAACGGCCCTGTGCTCCTAGTGGAGGGTGGGCGTAGGGGGAGCTGAGTCTTTGTACCCCCGTAAGGAGTTTCCGTCTCGGAAACCCACAGGCCTGTGCTAGAGGGTCACTGTGAGTCGGCTCGACTCCATGGCAGTGAGTTTGGCATTTGGGAGGGGATGCCTTAAAATGTAAAGTCTAAGGAGTTATGCTACAATACATGCAATGAAGTACTCTCCGGCCATCTGAAATTTGTCTGCGCGCGTGCGTGCGTGCGCGCGCGCGTGCGTG